TTATCTATTTTTTTCTTTTGTTGTTTGTGCTTTTGATGTTTTATCTAAAAAGCCACTGCCAAATTCAAAGTTATGAAGATTTACCACTGTTTTCTTCTAAGAGTTTTATAGTTTTACCTCTTACATTTAGGTCTTTGATCCATTTTTAGTTATTTTTTCATATGTGGTATAAGATAAAGGTCCAACTTAATTTGCTTTCATGTGGACATACAGCTGTTCCAGCACTATCTGTTGAAGATTTTTCTTTCCCAATAAATGGTCTTGGCACTCTTGCTGAAAATCAATTGACCACAGATATACGAGTTAATTATCTATTCCATAGCCTACATATCTATCTTTATGCCAGTATCACACTGTTTTGATTACTGTAGTTTTTAGTGAATTTGAAAGTGAAACGTCTGAATCTTCTAGCTTCTTTCTTTTTTAGTTTTCAGGATTGTTTTGGGTGTTTTCAATCTTTTGTTATCCCAGGTGAATTTTAGAATCGGCTTTTTTATTTCTGCAAAAAAAAGACTGTTAGTTTTTAAAAGGACGACATTGAGTCTGCAAATCACTTTGGGGAGACTATTGCCAACTTAACAATACTAAGTCTTCTAACCCAGGGCTCTGTAACCCCTGGGCCATGGGTACCAGTCAGTGGCCTATTAGGAACCAGGCCTTACAGCAAGAAGTGAGCAGCAGACAAGCAAGTGAAGCTTCATCTGTATTTGCAGCCGCTCCCCAGTGCTAGCATCACAGCCTCAGCTCCACTTCAGATTATCAGGCATTAGATTCTCATAGGAGCACTGGTGCCTGGTGCCAAAACAGCTGGGGACTGCTGTTCTAATCCAAGAACACAGGACATCTTCCCATTTATTTAGATATTCTTTAATTTCTTTCAGCAATGTTTTGAAGTTTTCAGTGTACAAGTCTCATATCTCCTTGGTTAAATGTATTCCTAAGTATTTTATTCTTTTTAATGCTCTTATAAGTAAAATTTTCTTAATGTCCTTCTCAGATTGTTTATTGCTAGTATATAGAAATTAACTAATTGTAGTGTAGTGATCTTGAATTCTACAAATTTGCTGAACTTGTTTATAAGACCTAGTAGGCTTTTTGTGGATTCCTTGGGATTTTCTATATATAAGATTATGTCATATGCAAATGTTGATATTTTTACTTCTCCCTTTCCAATTTAAATGCCTTTTATTATCTAATTTCTCTGGCTAGAATGTATAGTACAGTGTTGAATAGAAGTAGTGAAAGTAGGCATCATTATTTTGTTCTTGGTATTATAAGGAAAGCTTTCAGTCTTTTATCTCTGAGTATAATGTTAGCTGCGAGGTTTTTTTTTTTTTACAAATGCCCTTTATAATGTTGAAGAAGTTATTTCTATTCCTATTTATTGATGGTTTTTATTATGAAAGGGAGTTGAATTTTGTCACATTCTTTTTCTGCATCAATGTGGGTGATCATGTGTGCTTTTTTCCTCATTCTATTGATATGATGTATTGATTGGTATTTATGTGTTCAACCACCCTTGTGTTTCTAGAATAATCTCACTTGGTCATAGTGTATAATCCTTTGAAATATGCTATTGAATTCTGTTTGCTATTATTTTGTTGGGGATTTTTCTATATACTGCTATAAATTGAATTGTGTTCTCCTCCTCAAATTTGTGTGTTTCCACCAATGTGACTATATTTGGAGATAGGACCTTTAGGAGGTAATTAAGGTTACATGAAGTCATAAGGGTGAGGCCTAATCCGAGAGTACTTGTGGCCTTATAAGATCTCTCTCTCTCTCTCTCTCTCTCTCTCTCTCTCCCCTACAGTGAGAAGGCAGCCATCTGTAAGCCAGAAAGAGAGAACTGTCCAGAAATCAACCCCTGCTGGACCTTTATCTGGGACTTCCAGCATTCACACCTGTGATAAACAAATTTTTTTTAAGTCACCCAGTCTGGTATTTTGTTATGAAAATCCAACCAGACTAATACATATATTCATAAGGAATATTATATGTAGTTTAATTTTCTTGTGATGTCTTTGTTTAGCTTTTGTATCAAGATAATGATGGCCTCATAGAATGAATTACAAAAAATTCTCATCTCTTCAATTTTTCGAAAGAATTTGAAGGGATCGTTGTTAATTCTTTAAATATTTCGTAGAATTCACCATGGAAGCCCTCTGCTCTTGGGCTTTTCTTTGTTGGAAGGCTTTTGATTACTGATTCAACCTCTTTCTTGTTATAGTTCCATGAAGATTTTTCTATTTCTTCTTGAATTAGTTTTGGTAGTTTATGTGTTTCTAGGAAGTTGTCCATTTCAACTAGGTAATCTAATTTGTTAGCATATAATTGTTCATAGTATTTTATTATAATCTTTTTTATTTCTGATTTTAATAATTAAGTTTCTTAGTAGTCTACTAAAGGTTGGTCAATTTTGTTGATGTTTTTAAAAAACCACCTTTTGGTTTTGTTGATTTTCTCTGTTGTTTTCTATTCTCCATTTTACTTATCTCCACTATAATCTTTATTATTTCCTTCCTTTTTCTATCTTTATGTTTAGTTTGTTCTTTCTAGTTCCTGTGGTAAATTTAGGTTATTAATTTTTATATCTTTCTTCTTTTTTAATATAAGCATTTAGTTATGAATTTCCCTCTGAGCATTGTTTTTGCTGCATCCCATGTTTTAGTATGTTGTGTTTTGTTTTCATTTATGTCAAATATTTTCTAATTTTCCAGTGATTTCTTCTTCGACCCATTGACTGTGTTTTGTTTGATTTCCTCATATTTGTGGATTTTTCAGTCTTTCTTCTGTTTTTGAATTCTAGTTTCATTCCATTGTGGTCAGAGAGTTACTTTGTATAATTTAAATCTTTTAAAATTTATTGACCCTTGTTTTGTGGCCCAACATGTTAACTATCCTAGAAAATATTTCCTGTGCACTTAAGAAAAATGTGTATTCTTCTGTTATTGAATTAAATGTTCTACATATGTGTTAGAATTAGGTGATTTATACTATTATCCTCTACTTATTGCTCTTCTGTCTAGTTGTTTTATTCATTTTTGACAGTGTAGTATTGAAATTGTCTCTATTTTCCCTGTTAATTCTCTAAATTTTTGTTTTGTACATTGTGGGACTCTGTTACTACATGCATATATGTTTTAAATTGTTATATCATCTTGATAGATTGACTCTTATCAATATATAATGTTCTTCTTTGCTCTTCTAACAATTTTTGACTTACAGTCTGTATTGTCTGTGATTAGTATAGCCACTTCAACTCTCTTTTGGTTATTGTTTGTATGGAATGTCTTTTTCCACCCTTTCACTTTCAACCTTTTTGTATCTTTGGACTAAAGTGAGTCTCTTATGGACAGCTTATGGTTGTATCAGTTATTTGTGCATTCTTTTAATCTCTGCATTTTATTCGAAGAGTTTAGAGTCATTTACATTTAAAGTAGTTATTTTTAAGGAAGGATTTACTTCTGCCATTTTGTGATTTGTTTTCTACATGTCATTTATTTATTTTGTTCATCCATTTCTATATGGCTACCTTCTTCTGTGCTTAATTGATCTTTTATACAATACTGTTTTTATTTCTTTTTCTGTATATTATTTAGTTATTTTCTTTATGCTTGCTTTGGGGATTATAATTCACATCTTAAACTAATAATCTATGAATTGATACCAACTTAGTGTCAATGATATCCAAAAACTCCGTTCCCATACAACGTCACCTTGACTCCTTTATGTTATTTTCATAAATTACATCTTTATATAGTGTGCCCAATAATACAAATTTATAATGATTGTTTTACGTATTTATCTTTTAAATCATATAGAAAAAGTTACAAATCAAAAACACAATAATACTGGCTTTTATGTTTACTTATGTACTTACATTTACCAGTGATCTTTATTTCTTCATGCTGCTTTGAGTTACTGTTTAGTGTCCTCAAACCACCTGGCTTTACAACTGCTCAGATGTCTGCTTCCATCAATGTAATTGGCTCACCTTACTTTCTATCTGTAATTCTCATAGCACTTAGCCTGGTGCCTTGCTGAGTGAATCGGGTTCACTTATGGTTCACAGTAAACAATGAGGTGAAGGAAATGCCTAACTATTCAGGGTATTTTATTTTCATTATTCCCAATGCTTCATTCACCTTGTATATTCCACATATGTATGTTCAAAACATAAAAGACTTGCTTGGCCAGTGGAAACAAAGGTGCACGAGTGGTCTCAAAGCTTAGTGACTGTTTTTGGTATGCCAGGTTGTAATTAAAAATAAAAATAAACACTTAGGTTGGGGTCTGTCTTTCGAGAGACAATTTGAAAACAGAAAATATTTAAAAGGTTTGAGTGGCATCATCATCATCAGTTTGATTAATAAAATGATTAGTCTTGTTTCTGATAAGGCTGCACTAGAGAATATAGCTTTGATTTGCAGCCACAGCTGTGCCTCCTAAGTCCACATCTTAGTAAGAGATGCCTACTGGGCACTTGGCATGAACCACATACATGGAGAATATCTGCCTCAAGTGTGCCAAGCCCCTGAGGTGGGGGCAGTGGGAACCTCCAGATCAGCATCTAGAAATCAGGCCTGTGCCCTGGTCTATTCGTATTTGCCACACACAAGCAGGAAAAGGCAAACATGATTTCAGCTGGGAGACACGCAAGTCCTAAAGCAGAGTTAGAATTACTAAAACCTCCTCAAGGATTAAGTTTCTAACTCTCATTTAAAACTAATCTAATTCATGTGAAATTTTAAACTAAAGAGAAAAAAATATTAACGTGGGATATACTAAAACACAATCTTTCCATATTGTTGAAAAAAGAATTTCCACTTTTCTTAACCAAATTTTGCCTTTATCTAAGTCTATAAAACGGCTGGATTACCTTAAAGGAAGAGATTGGGTTCAGTTTCTAGATCTGTGGAGTAATCACTGTACCTACTGAGCAGGAATCGTTTTCAGGCCATTTCTTACCTTGATCCAATGACATCAAAAAGATGCTGCCAGTGATCGTTAATTTCGTTGAGCTTGTCATCGATCTCAGCTGCTCTTGTCTTGCTGCTGGCCTTGATCAACTGGTCACCCATCTGCTTTAATTGTAACTTGCTTTCACTGAACAAGTTTATTTCTTCCATGCAGTCCTGGCAAAGGCGCCAAAACGCAAAGCTTCAATTACTACCAAAATTCATTTCTTTGCCAGGCACAAATATACCGTTGCCTCTTGAAACTTTAAAAATGAAAAAATTTCTCACACTTGTTAATACAAGTCTTCAGTGTGTAGCTGACTAGTCAGCGCCCACTTGGCACATGTGTAATACAGAAGGAAGCAGTTACTTTCTTGATTCGACAGCCTTGTTTTTCCCCTCACAGGTTTCTTCTAATCTAAGCTACTTGAGAGTTGAGGACAACTGAGTATAATTAATTAGCCTAACATCAGTAAGAGTTTTTCTGAAGTTTAACTGAGTGGCAAGAATGTTCTTTCTACTTTCCCCATGGGGACTAGTGACATTTGCCAAGGGCAGCTCCCTAACAAAGACACCTGGAGAAGCCATAACTCACCTGGGATGTGAACTGATGCTTAAGGAGATGCTGACCCCTTCTCTGGTCAGACTTCCAGAGAGAAGGTAACCCCTCTCAGCACACAGCACCATGCCCACCTAGAATGACCCCACACCTTCCATCTCTCTAGAATCCTCACTTACCAGCTCTTCTCTGAGAAGAGACAGAAATAGTGAGAAAGTTCCTTCAAATTTCTAAAATGTTGTTGGAAACACACCTATAACATTATGCCGCTCTGAGCCCGGGCCTGAGGAGGGCATTGGATTCCGCGGTAGATGTAACTGTACCCATGGGGGTATTCCTGCTTACCTTCTGTAACTTCTCAATCATTTCTTCAATACTAATATCTGCTGCCTGCAGAACTTTGTTTTCCATCTGCACCAGCCACACACACAACTCTTTATTTTTTTCATTGAACACAATCCATGAATTGAGTCGTCTTCAATCTCCTGTTTGCGTACAGACACCTGGAAACAAAAATGCATTTGGCAGCTGAGAACAGGCAGGAAGGAAAGCATTTTCCTTCCCCTCCCCCCATCAAAAGGACTATGAATTTCATTCATTTTAATCAGTAGCCCTATAGACTGAAAGTACTACGTTTTTGCCTCTTAAACTCCTAAAGTTTAACATCAACGGAAGTTTCTTACTCCTTTGATAAATGTCATAAAAAGCAACAAAATAAAGATTGCTCCTGAATTGTAACTGACCAAAAAGATCCAGTTTTATCCAATATCATCAGGTATATTAAAAATTAGAAACAGGAAAGGTTAAATGAATATATTAAGCATCACCCAAATTTCTTCTGTTCCTTGTTCTTAATATACATTTACTAACTGCTTGCTACATGCTAATTTATAACTTTATGACCCAAATCCTTTCCCTTTTAAAAAACATCTTTATAGCTACTTAAGGCCAACATCCTGCCTATTTAATTTAAAATCTATATTACAGATCACAGTATAAACCTAACATTTCTAAGCAAATGGACCACAAAAATCAAAATCATTTAAATATTCTAGTGTTGTAGTTCAGAACAAAAAAAGTAAAATAAGATTAAAAAATGCACATCACTCATCAATTCACCTTCCCATCATGTACTATAGCTCTGGATAGAAATCATGGCAATGGGACCAAATAATGGTCTGCAGCAAGCAGGATGACCCCAAAATACACAGTGCTCCATTATGCATAAACAACACCTAAGCTGACATTGGCGAAGGGTCTTCCTCCTTAAAGGATTCAAATCTGATACGTCAATAAATATAAAGAATGCAGATCTGACTTTCTAAATGTACAAAAGTCTTCTCAGGTCTTAAAAATCTTTAGACTCTTAAAGTTAAAAGGGATAGCTAAGAGTCCTTTTGGCAAAAGTTTTAATACCTCACTTTATCAATGGTGAGACAAAGGTTTAGTTCCCAGAGATTTTCCTGTTATGTACAAAAAAACCCTCTGCTCTTCTCAGACTGAGGAGAAAATGTCTAATGTAGGGACACTCACCCAGCCAAATGTGCTAAGAAAGTGAAAAGAACGATACCCGCCCCAAACAAGTTTTGTGTTTCTGCTCCTCAGGGCATCTCAGCTTCAAAAAATCCTGGCCTTTTGCACAGAGTCATTTTCATAATGGTAATAATAATCGAGAACATCTGGGCACCAGTCTTTGCTGCTTAACTTTTAGGATACTTTTCACATTTTCTATTATATAAAAATTGAATGAAAATTTATAAAAGACATTCAAAAGTAGAGTACATTGCGAATACTAAAACCCAGAAGGAAGAATGTTTTTATTTTATTAAAATGCATTCGAAAAGTGTCTGAATTCCAACTCTTAATACATCTATTCTTAATTCACAAAAATGAGATTAAGGAATTTATTTTTCTTAGAATTCTTAAAACAAAGATCTATTAGCACTCTTTAATTCCACCCCGATCTTATCACAAACACTTCCTGTAGAATACCCTGATCACAGTGAGCTGCTGAGATACTAAATGTAGCAGTTAATCAGTTCTTTTACAGTTCTAAAAGAACAGCTACTTGAAATAAATATTGGGTTGCAAGTCAATGCAGAGTTTTCGGATAAAGTGCCCCCGTGCAGGCATAAGTACGACTCCTGCTGTCTGTGGGGCACCAAAGAGATGCTGCTGAGATTCTGCTCTGGACAAGATCTCTGCAAGTCCTGATTCTAATATTCCGATTAGTACTCGACTCCTACACAAGACAGAGAGCAGAGCCCACACAACTGTTCACAATTGCAATCTCTCCTTCCCTAGATGATTTTTTAAAAAGCTCATTAAAAATGTGCAAAGTCCCAGCACTGAGTGCTGGAGAAACAAAGGGTCAAATCTGAAACCACGTTGCTGCTGTCTAAAGGCACAGCAGCTGGCCTGGGCGCCAACTGAAAAAGGCCTCCAGTTCAGTGAAATTAAGCTCTTTTCTACTTTGTCTGGCCTTTGGAGACATTTCAATAAACTCCACAACAGCCATGCCCTGCAGTTAACTGACTCACTCTTAAGCAGAGGTCCTCCCATTGTCTGTGCAAATGCTCTTATTTGCTCCTTCAAAACCATCACGTCCTCCACAAGATGCTGCTGAGCTAAGTAGGTCTTCATAGTGTGAAGTTCTTTGAAGTTCTGAGTCCAGTTACCCAAAGACTTATCTAGTTCCTGCGTTTAAACACAAGAAGGGGGAGTGAAAAAAAACTCAAACCTTTAACTCAAGCTGCTGTTGTTTCCAAACCTGGAGGCTAATCCTTTGATTGGACTCTGGGGGAGGGGAGACCAGGAAAGGGGGCGGGATTCTCTGAATGAGAAACGGCCCAGGGTGAGCGTCTGCAGTTGTGGTTGGCCAGTTCTTCGCCACCTTTTTCTCAAAAAGAAAACTCTTTTCCACCTTCATTTTCATTTCCTCAGGTAGTTCAGTTTTTTATATAATTCCATTTTAAAGTCCTGTAGATGTTTATTTGGAGGAAAGCAACAATCACACACATACACAATTCTGAAACTCTATTACAGAAATGTATAAAGTGTGACTTCTCATTTTTAAAAACACCTAGGAAATGCATTGTTGCTACTGCGGCAATCATATAATAACAGCTTCCGTTCAAAGGGAAATATTTTGGTTAACTTTCAAAAAACAAGTTAAATATAATGAAAGAAAAAATAAATTGTTCCCTAATAATTGGCAGAGATTAGCAGACAATTTCCTTTGGCCCTGAATACGTTTACTTTTTAAAATGAAGTGTCTGTCAAATTTAAACTTTTTTAATTCTTAGAACTTAATCACGAAGGTTACTTTTACAACAGGGGAGGTAAAAGGAAAAAGCCAGAATACTCAGGAGTCATCTGGATTTTTACTTTGCTCACAATTCATACTTCGGCACATTTGAAGGGTCTCCATTCACACATATCTATTGGAATCTGAAAGAAGAGACTATTTCATTTACATCAGAAATAAAACTGAGCAGTGGTAACAATAAAACTGTGTTAATTCTGATTGATTTTCAGAGTTCTAAAAGCTACAGTTGCAAGATTTCATAACTTGCTGACAAAAATTTACATTTAATAACTCAGTCTAGAGAATTCTTTTTTAAGGTTGCAGGGAAATTAAGAAATAATATCTTTATCAGAAATCCCCACTTTAAGTTTTTGTTACCTAGTTTTGGCCTTATGATTCTAGTAAAGTGGATGACTGCGGATTCTGGTGTGGAACACTTAATTAGGTACATAATATAAAGGCGGTCACTCATAAGTGGAGGTATACCACTCACTGACTGAAAACTAGAGGAGACCCAAAGACAACAGCTTCATATAATGTTTCTCTGCTCAGTGATGCTGACTCAGATGCCTGCCCAGTAGGGAGGCGTGTTTAAGTTATCCACAGCCAAGTTTAAATCAATTTGGTTTGGAAATTTGGTTTCCTCCTATAACTGAAAGGATAATTAACAGGTATAAAATTTTTGGATATAGGCATTTTTATGATTCTTAACCAATATTACCAAAATGTGTCCTCAAAAGAATGACTCCACGTACCTTTTGGTGTTGAGTTTCATGTATTTTGGAGGCAAATAT